CACTGCTTCTTGAAAGCTTTTAGAAAAATTTTCCTTATGCTTTTATCCTAGAGGAGAAGGCAGGACTACATTTGGTATTTAGGACAGGGAGCTGGCAATCTGGATTCTTTTCAGCTTTGTCACTAACCCGTTGTATGACTTCGGTCCACTCGTTTTACAGCACCATGGCTTCGAGAAGCTACGGGGAGTCTCTCTGAGCCTCGAAAAGGGCTCTGTTTGTGCCTACTAAAGGGACCGCCTTTGCAAACTTGGCACTTGGCATTCCCAGCTCCTGCACTGGCAAAAAATACTCCCACTTGCAGAACCTCCCGCAGCTGTGCAGAGGTACAGGTTCTCAGGGTTACCTACACGTGCTGCTTAGACTTAGTCTATGATCTCCACGGAATTGTTTTCATTTACCTTACCCTCAATGTCAGACAAACCTTGTAGTAGAGCAAGTGTTTATTTAGAAACAATTAAAACTGAACATTTAGATACTAGACCAGGAGGAGGTAAACAAGTAAAATGTAAAGTAAACACATAAAAATTATTTCAATTCTGGATTAAATTTCACAGCTAGAGGCCTATGTTTTAAGCTATCCTCCCTGGAATCTCAAAGAATGTCCACACACTCAGGCACTGGTGCCCATTAGTCCCAGTCCTGAACATGCACCATGCTCCATCTTTCTTTGGGAAACTCTTTGAAGTTCTCTGCGCTTTTATTTCCTAGAAATTAGGTTTTAGAATATAAATGCATCTCTAATTGGCTTTTACTGAAGCCAGCAGCGATGGATATTTTACCAGTGGTTCCTTTGGGTTTAGACCTAATTGGCCAGAAGGTGTGTGACCTCTGTAAATACACCTGCTTGCCCTTCCTGGGAACTAGGTGCCTTATTATTTCTCCCTTCCTCCTAGCCAGCCTGCTGGCTACTGCTTCCCACCCACTCTGAGCTGCTCCCTTTATTTCTTTATATAGACTTATTAGTGTTATTCAAGACACTGGTTATGCACAGATTCCATTAAGTTAGGATTTGTGATGTGTTACTGATTTCCTATAGAGACCTGTATGTGCTAATCTACATTAATTATACATTATTGATCGATAATGAGTTGCTCTGAATTGTCTGTGAGAACAGGAATTCCTCAGCTTCATCCTCTGTCCCAGTCACTTAGGCTGAAATTTTCAAAACCCTTCAAAGATATTTAATTTTTAACATCTGCTTTGAAATGAGTCATTGAGCACCTCAGGGTTCGATTGACCTTATTTGATTTTGGGTGCTTGTCTTGAACTGAGGCAGCTGTCACTGGGTGCCTCGAGATTCCCCTGATTTTATTTGGATTTTGGGTGCTTGCTCTGGGGAGATGTACACACTGGAAACAAGAAGCTAAATAAAAACATGGGGTTTTTGTAAGTGCCTTCAACTTTAAAATGGGACTTTCAGTTTCTAAAGGCTGGCAGGGAGTTAATTTTGAGTCAGTCTTTGTGTGGTCATTTTTATTCTGGAATGAGAGTGTTCCTGCACAGAATTACACTAAAAAGTTTTGTCAAGAGACATTGTCATTTGTTTCCATGAGTTTGCAAATATTCCCAAACAAGTTTGATGTAAGCCAGCAAGACCCAGCTTTGATCCTACCAAATAAAAGCACCTCCCTGATCAACATAAACCCTCGGCTAACTCCGAGCACCGGGAGCTGCCAGAACGTGGGGCCCTCCCGACCTCACGGTGCCAGCAGCCGTAAGGGCCAGGCTTTTTGCCACAGCCCAGACAAGGTAGTTTACGGCTGCTTCAGGGGGTCTCTGTATAACACTGCCACAATGTCATATTTTGATGAGACTTTAGTAAACTTTCTAAGTTACCTGAATTCTTCTGAAGGGCATTATCTGTGTGCAGTTTGCTTGTATTGTTGCTGAATTATGAACAGCAGTCACTACAATTGGTATTCACAGTTTGTAAAACTCCCTTGCCTTGAGTTCTCTGCTGCTGCTACCAGCAAGACATACAGCAAACTTCATCCTTTATCAAAGGGCCATAGCACAAGCCACTTCCATCAGCCTCACATCTTCAACTGACAGCAAAATGGCCCAGGCCTCAAGCAGCTGACTTGATGCCACTGTGATAGTGGCTTACGTGTACCTTAACAGAGGTTGTACACACCTTAGCAAACGGAATTAAAATGATAGTGCACAGGCATCCAGCACATACCACCAAGCCTGATTCTGCAGATCCTCAGACCATGAGTGAGCTACCCACAGGAGCAGTCCAGTCTGGGGACTCCCACTGGTTGCAACACTGCAGTCATCTGATTTGCATACAAAAAATAATTTCTGTGGATACATTCTTGCATTTATTTAATCCTGTAGTCCCTAGGTACCATCAATTTTCAGTGACCTTCCTGAGAGCTGGCAGAGTTTAGGACTTTATTGTATCCCATGCATCAGTCCTAATTCAGTGATTCATTTATCTATGTCAGTAAGATTTCTACATATCCTTAAGTGATTTGTGGAAGGGGGGACACATTGAATACATTTGTGCACCTCTAATCTACAATTTAATTGTACTTTCAAAACATTACTTTGAAAACAGTGCTTCTGGTCAAGAATAAAGCCCATGCTTTTTTTTTGCTTTTTTTTTTTTTTTTTCCCTGATGCTGTTAGGTTGGGTCAGATTGGGAAATCTGTGTGCCGGGGAGTGAGTAGGCAGGTACAAGCAGTCAGTCCAGCTGGCTTTAATGGCACTATTTGTGAGATCTCACCAGAGCTGTGCACTGGGCCCCACGATGTGTGACACACAGCAGCCAGAACACAAATGTCTTACTCAAGCATGGCAGTTACTCATGGGAGTAGTTACCTTGGAGCCAGAAGGACTGACCAGGGATTTTACGTTACATTATTATTTTTGTTGCTGATGTCTGTACATTGCGATCAGAATCGTGGGCAAACGAGAACATGGCCGTGTTGTTTGGACAAACAGAACAGCGACAGTCCCACCTTCACAGATGGCATCTCTTGAAAAATACTCATTTTCCGACTCTGCTGGGGAGTTTTGCAGCAGTGTATAGTGAATATATTCAAATGGGAACGTCTCAAAATGGTGTCTATAACGTTAGTACAAAGTTTTATTAATAAATGAATTGACTTTATTTTTATTAGCTAGAAAAATAAACCTAGGCTCATGTTGTTTGAGTGAAACTGAAATCAGGACAGACAACATTAAGAACACAACTAGTATAAAAACTACCACACAATAAATCAAAGAACAAGAAAAGTACATGGCTATTAACGTTCTACTATAACATTCCTCACAACCTCTCTGCAGTGTGGAGAACTGCTGGCCAACATTTTTCAACTGTCCTAAAGAATGTGAAATGTAAATGTTTAGAAGAGTGGTTTTCTTGCCAAGCTGAGAACGATCATAAACATCAGCTTCTAATAGAAACATTTTAAAAAGACGCATCCTTGCTGCCAGCTTTTGAGAGCAACACCGTTTAAATTAGATCAGAGTCTCCTTGCATTCTTGACACTCCATTGCTGCCTTTTATTTGCCAAAAATTGTTGGATTGATGTTATGCTTGAATTTAAAGTATGAACTACAACTGTATTAAATATGCTGCTTAAATGTCATGTGGATAAACAATATATCACCTGCCTAGGATTCATTTTGAGGACAGGCCTAAAGCAAATCTTGAGGGAGAAGAACCATTCTTTTAACTATGATCCTTTATTTCTGTGGCATCACAAATGTGCATGGTATTTTCCTGTCAAGTGGAGTTTATGGATTTGTTGAGATGTAACTTTTCTGTAGCTAATAAATATACTAAATATATAATATTACTGAACACTAATATACTAAAAGTGAACCATGACTTACTCCTTACTGTACCCACTCCGCCTTTCAGCTGAGAGGTCTGTAAATATCATTGATAAAATAGTGCTGTAAACTGACATTATAGACCTGTATTGGGTAATACTGAAATCTTGATTCTGACAGCACCTTATTTCTTCACAGTTAAATCCTCCCACTATTTATTGCTGGATAATCTTAGCCAAAATGTTCAAATCTAGGAAAACTGAAGTGCTTTGTAAACCAGAACCAGTTTCAGCTGACTCCTTTAGTGATATCACCCTGAAATTCCAAACAAATAAAATTATACAGTTTTAGCATTTTCTAAGTGAAACATTTTAGCTTTGGGATTCAGAATTTCCATTCTAGTTTAGAGCTTAATTATATTTTTAGAAACTCTTAAAGCAAAATTAAATATTTGAATCAAAGCGTTTCCTTACGAACCAAAACACTGGTTTTGTCACTGCTGCTAGTGAATCAAATTTAGTGTATTTTTAGAAGAAAGAGCCATATCTGATCACAACCCAAAACATCTCCTTATATAATCAGTGTCCATATTCTTCAAACTCCCTGATTTTGCACCATGATAGAAGAGGGACTGGAGATGACATGGTTATTAGTGGATCATAGTTATGCATCTTTGCAGGTTTTATTTTGATAAATACTTTGAAATAACTTATGAAAAATCTCTTAATCTATAAACTTTCTGGGTTTTATGTGTAGCTCAACACTTGTTTGGAACTACTTTGTTAATTTAAAAGAGGATTTTGAAAGACAGAGGGCAGTTGTAAGTACCAACTCCAGGGAAGTAGGTACTTAAAGAAGGACCAGAAAGTGAGTACTGTTTTGAAAACCACAATAGTGAAATAGCAGGGCTACGCAGTGAAATCATGAGATTTCGTTTTCATAAACAGTAATACATTTTTGGTTCATTCTTTTCTTCCTTTTTTTATTTGTGCTTTGAGGTGATCACATGCTACAGTTACAGACTACTTCTGCAAGTATGGCAGCTGGGACTGTCCAGCTGACCTGTTCTCCTCCATCTGAGAACAGCTGGACTGTAAAGCTTATGATGAAAAGCAAGGAGAAGACACATTGTTGCTGTAACCAGATGTTTCAAATGGATTCAAAAGACAGTGTTTGATTCAATTTCCTCTTTTTCTGTTTTGGTTGCTACAGAAACAAATCTGATCTTTAGATGGAAATTCATTCTCTTAGCTGTGTCAGAGAAACAGAGACCAAGAATGAGCCTGAGTGGGGAGAGGACCAGTCAAGCCTCACAGCGTGGAAAGACTGAAAAAGACCCAACAGCAAAGAATAAGAGGATATGAGCTGTGCTGTGCTCACAATGAAATCATTGGGAATTTTGCCATGAAAGCAGAACTGAGTTGTTCTTTCAGGTACGAAAAGTACTGCAAATTGCAAATATAGAACTCGCATTAAGAGGTTAACACAGGAAGCTCTATTCTTCCTGGGATGAGCCAAGAAACTGCAAAAACTGGGTCCCTAAACTTGTGTATTCTAGCCAAGCGTTGGCAGAGGTCTTGCTTCCAGCATCCCTTGAGGGTGTTTTTACTTCCCATTAATAAATATCATAGTTCTCCCACCACTTCCTTGAGTTCTAGTGGCCTTCCTTCTCTTTTCCATCTGATGAAGAGTCTTCACTGTAATCTAAAGTGTACTGGAGTCAAGAGATGTCTTTGCATTGTCTTTAACCGGCTTTGAATCAGAGCAGAAAGGTCATAGTTCTTAGGTTTATAATTTGTTTTGCAGATATATTGGGATATTTTGCTCTTGTTTTGATCTAAACCTCAGATAGCCCTAGAAATAACAGAAGCAGTGAATACATAAAACAAGATTCATTCCAATGGGACATCCAAAGGAGTTATATATGTCACTCCAATGCAAACAGGATCTTGGTGGTAGAACTAGGAACGAAAGCTGAGAGTTCTGACTTCCCTCGTTGTGCTTTCACCATTTGATCATGCAAACTCCCCAAAATTATCATAAAATTGTACACAGAGTAACATCCAGCAGAGACCAGCTCTGCCTGGCTCCTATGAGCTTGCCAAGGCTGTTGGGATAGTGAGTGAAGAGACACACAATTCATTTTTAAGAAGGTTTTTTTCCCCTTTTTGTCATCTTCTTTGTGGTGGTTTGTGAAATGCCAGGAAGGAACAGTACAATAAACAGAAAATGTTCCAAGGAAACCAGCCTTCTCCATGCCATTGCCCAACAAGCACCCAGTGTACCAACCACGGAGCTTTGCATAGGAGTGTATGACACACATGGGGACTATGATTTCTGCTGGTGTGAGGCCTCTCATCCCTTCTGAATCCACAGAGCAGAGAAAGAGCGGAGAATCAGAGCCTCTCCCTACCTGGTCGAGGCTCTCCCTCACCTCCAATACAAATGCAGGTGGAAAATTATCGAGTCCATAATTTTTCTGCATAATTTAGAGCCATAAAATGGAAGCTGCCTTTGAGCATTTGGCTTTTCCTCTCTTGCAAGTTAGGGCCAGATGCAAAAGAGGACTTAAGCACCTACAACTCAGTAGGTTCCTCCCTGCTCAGGATAACATTTCTTCCAGTACCAGCAACTTTATGTCTAGACATGCCCAGAACTGCTGTGATCTGAACAGCTTAGTACAGAGTTCCCACCTGAAACCCACTGGGATCCTGAAAGAAGGAGTGTCTTATTTTCTCAGGACAGCCAATTCTGATGGCATATTCTGAAAAAGCCTAATACACAACAGCAGGACCAGTCCCCTCACATGATAAAGTCATAGCTACTTTCTTTTAAACTTGACCAGGTGGGAGAGATGCTATCTGGCTGGCTGGTTTGGTTTTGACTGACAAACCTGAGCAGAGTGAGAGTCGTCCTTAGACATTTTGCATAAGGGTCCAGGCCTGCCCCGGTCTTGTGGGGATTGCCTAGGGGAATAAGCATTCCCTCTGGGAGTGAGATTATAAATCTGAAAGTTTCCAACACAAAGAAGAAACAAAACACAAGCCCCTTTCAAGGAAAACATAAATGTAGAGAATTAAAAAAAAAAAAAAAAAAACCCAAAACCAAAAAAACTGAAGAAACCACAGTTATTTTGCTGGCTAATATCATGAAGACATGATAGTACTTGCAGCTTCCTGCTTGGACCTGGCTTGCTCCAAAGTCATTTTGTGTGTTAATCATGTGGTTTAGATGATGAAGATTAGGTCTGAGTGAGCTGGTTCAGATAAAAGGGGAAAAGGCAGCAACCAAACCTTCACCAAAAACTTCAACCTAAACTTTTCTAAGCTTTGAATAAATAAAAAAAAAAAAAAAGAGTAGTATCTTTTCTTTATTGTTCCTTTGTTTTGCAATTAAGATTTTATTTGAAGGTACTATTATTCATTAGCTACAGTTATTCATTCAAAGCTTTGAAAGTGCACAATGCTGTAAGGACTGCTGTTATCACTGCAAACACAGAAGTACCCATTTCAAGTTTACAAACGTACATTTCTGTCCCTTTTCCTGAACTGGGATTTTTACTGGAACTAGGGTTTTTTAATCCTTTTTACTTCTTCCAGTATAACTACCATCATAGTATGCAAGTTTCTGCCCAGTTTTATTTTCTGTGCATCTTGGCTTGGAATGTTCAATTATAGATTTCCCGATAAAGACTCCAGCCAACAGCTAGCAATTTGTTCCTCAAAAAATAGGTACATAAAATCATGTTCCAAAATCTAAACAGAAATGTGTGAGTGCTCTGATTAAAAAAAAAACCAACTCGAGAGCTGCTTGTTGCTTGGCAATTTTGAAAATTAAGACTATATTCTTTAGTACTTTACTACGTAATACTTTTAGATACCTATTTTTAAATGGTTGTCTCATCTGATGGCATACTTTTGTGTTAGATTTGCCCATATTTGGCATGCGATACGCTGGGGAAATAAGTGCACACCAACTCCATTTATGCACAAGCTGGACAACTCTTTGCAGATGTCAAGTACATGCATAACAGGCCTGATATTTGCTCATGCAGACATAAAAGTACAATTGTAACTACTGGCTTCATCCTCCATTGCTTTTAAGTTATGCAGATAGAGAGCCTGGTACTTCCAGATGTGCTAGACAGCTTTTTACACACCCTGTGGACTTGCTGTGAGTCCATGGGTTTGACTGCACAGTCATAAGACAGTGGGGAAGTAGGGTCTAGGTATATTGTATATGAACATTTCTGTTCAGAGAATCAAGTCTCCTCTGTTATAGTCCATTATAATGCACCAACGTGTGGGAAAGCTGACTTGAAATATCCCATAAGGGACTAGCTATGGGCAACAGGTTACCAGTCAGGGAGATACCGTAACATCAGGGATTTCACAAGACAGCTGGACCTTGATCCTTCCAAAGTACAGGCAAATAAATGAGATGCTCAAATTAGGAGTCTATCTCCTTCACTGGCAAGAGGCAGGTACCTTCAAAAAGAGGTTGAGTTTCCCAAATGTTAAGGAAATGGGCATTCTAACAGTTCCGTAAAATTAATCCAAGCCTTCAAGCCTTCGAGCCAAGTATATGCAAAAGTAAAGTGTCACAGAAGGACAGAAGACTGTGGCAAGCACTGTCTGGAGAGTGCTGTTCAGTTGGTTGATTTTTCTGCACTCCTGTAATTACTGATTTTGAGTGGGTATGAAGGAGGGAGCTACTTTTCGTGACAGCTGCTGTTTGTGCAGTGGTTCAAACCCAACTTCAGTCAGGATATATTAAAAAGGGAATGAGTAAGCCAGCTCTAGAGAGTGACTTCCATCATTATAAACTAAAGAGGCTTGGATTAACATTTGAACTTTTTGAATGCTTATTCTAATTCAACCACAGAATCTTCTGAGAGCTTCAGCCATCAGTAATTAAGACATGCAACCATTTACCTGTGGTTCATCTGTGCACTTAGCAGTTTTTGCTCTAGTGGGTCTCAGTGGTGCCAAGTGTCTGTGGTAGGGTGAATGCCACTCAGAAACACATGGACTAACAAACTCTACACTTTTATATTAACTCTCTTACCCCTTACATAGTCAGGAATACTACCATAGCCTCACTGAAAACTAATAACCCACTTCAAAAATAAACTGCCCTAGGAAGTGTCTTTGAAATTTTTCTTAATGCCATATTAAAAAAACATAACATGAATGTAAACAGTTTTCCCTGCAATGAATACAGTACAAACATCCCAGTGTTTCACTAGTACCTGAGAGCTGGAATATAAAACTGTCTATAAACAATAGCAAATCTGACAGGTCTGTGTTATTTCTCTTCCTCCTCCATCTCCCCCCAGTGTAAATTAATAAATATTAATGAAAAAGAGAAGCAATAACACTTATCTATTAATTTTTCTCCTTTTATTTTCTTAATTTAAAAGTGTTTTGGGGTTACGTTTAATCATATATATGGTTGTTTGAGCCTTTTATTAGCCATGATTCATTCTGCGTATCAGCATAAAGTGGTGCTCATGCTTTCAGTCTATATCTGTTCCATGATGCTCAGTTATCTGTCTGCCCTTGAGCTATCGGTAGGTATGGATTTGCATGTACACTGTTCTCCTATGACAATAGTATGCCAGGAATGACCGGTCTGGTATTACCTGGTCAGGTGAGGTTCCATTCAAATAATGTACATGCCACCAAAACAATTCAGATCAAAGGTCTGTCTTTCAACAGAATTAAAATGTAAGGACTTCTAAAGCAATTTTAGCAGTTGGCTTTACAAATGAACTTATGTCAGCTGCTCTGTATGATGACTGACTAAATTACTTATATATCTAATCTTATCTAGTTATCTGTCTGTCTGTTTTTCAGCATTTCAGTACCCATCACCATATTATCTAGGCGCCACCATGAGATTAAGAAGCTCTGCCGTGACATTCTCAGCATGATCTGTTCAAAGGTCATTAGCAGAGCCTTTCGTACTGGAAAAGATTGCAGGACAGTACTGAAGTGAGCCGCAGAAGGAGAGAAAAAGGAAAAGGAGGCGGTAAGCTGTTGGAGCCGTTTTGGTTGTGCTCATCCTGTGTGGCTTGCTTAGCTAGTACTAAAGTTTAGGAACCTCATGTCAGCTGCCTTTACTCTGCCCAGGGACTATAGTACTTGTTGAATGCTATTGTCACCTCAGAAAGTTATCTCGCACAGCCTCAAGATTGCTGTCCCTGTGCCGTCTTCAGATGCTGGTCTGTATGGTTTCTGTATATTACTGCCTGAGAGCAGTATATTTCTCTCAAAAGTTCCTACCAGAGAGCAAGCACTGCAACTCAGGGAACCACCTTCTCCAAACTAATGTATTAGTTAAAAATTCAGCATGCAAATCCTACAAATTCTGTGTTTGAGGAAGCCAAAAAGGCTGGTTTTCAATGTACACCGACTTACATAGGATCCATGGAATCAGGAAAGATGGTTTTATCTCACAAGGCCTGATCCGACTTCCACCAAAGTCAGTTGCTGGAGCATCTCTGATTGCCATGAGTGTCTGCTGAAGACAACCTGGGGAACTTGCATTCTGGAAAGGTGGCACTGGCTGTATTGTGTTCACTGATGCAGTCTGTTGTGACTTTCCCAAGAAGTGTATTGGTAAGCGAAAAATTTGCCCAAGCTCTTTTTTTCACGGCTGCAGTTAGGACTCCTGGTTCAGGCCTGAGGAGGCCAATGACAGTATGCTGACGCACTGCTCAAACAAACCCCCAGAGGTCTTTTGTGCCCCTTCTGGTACAAAAACAGTAGGGGATTTACACTAGGGGATAAATAGGTGGTTCCAAAGTGAGAAGGAAAGAGCCAAAGTTGGAAGCTAACCACAATACGTGGGTGTAAACGATTACCAAAGGCTTCCAGTAACTCTGCTATCATCAGAGACTGGCTTTATGGGTATGGCCTCAAGAAGTTTCCCTCCACTTAATTAAAGAGGCAGATAAGTATCTAGGTGGAGTGTGCAGATAGGTTCTGAATGAGTTATCCACTAAGGCTGGTTTGCTGCACCTATTGTTAAAGCCAAAATATAATATCAGATTAATGCATTATATTTGCCTATTATAGCACTATGTCATCATTATATGACATGTTATAATTAAAGCCCTGCGTTAGAAACAAAACTATTTGGCTTGGGATAAGTTGCCTTTATGACTTCTGTGGTTATGATTTCCTCCTTTTCTTAACCCCTTAAAACTGCATAATATAGCTATTTGTAACTGTATAAAGAAAGTTTCTAGTTTCAGATTCTAATCTCAGGTAATTCAATGTAAATAAAGTAAAAATCTGGCACATAGTCTTTTCCTGTGTCTGAATATTTGCTAATAGAGGGAAATCCACGCTGTTTGGGTCAAAGGAGTCACAAAGATGGGCATTAGATTAAAGGAGAGCATGCATAACTCACCAACTAGCCCTGTCAGTTGTCATTCAGCTGTCCACATCAGTTCCTGATTTTGTACAATTCCTCATGACTTTTCAGGAGAGGAAGCCACTCACCGTACTTTCACTCTTCCCTTCCTGGAACTACATGAGGAAAAATTCACTATTAGACTAGTTTTTGGACCTAGGTCTCAGGAAACCATGCTCACAAATGCAAATCTGCAAAATGGGTGTGTGATTGCATGCCTATCTTGGAGATACGATTAAGATTACAGTTTGGGTAACTGACTATGCTAATATCTTTAATTAGTGATTTGCATATGCAAGCTTTTAAATTTCAGTAGTTGGTGATTCATGCAGTTAAGTGCCAGCCTTAGCCTTGCTGTCAGATTTAGACAGACAGAGTATGCCAGCAGTCCCCCCTCTCCCCCACATCAAATGCAGAGAGCATGTGTTGTCACCAGTGAAGGTGTAATTTCCCAAAAACTGCCAGGCTTTGTCTGAGAAGCAAAGATTGTAGGGAGATGAATCTGCTGTTGTTTGGTCGCAGCCTTTATTATTTAACATTTAGCAATACTCTTATATAAATCTAATTGATGTCTTTTATACTAGTAACTGAACTGTGCATTTGTTTGGTTTGGAGATGACCACCTTAATGAAGGTTAATGCAGAGAGAGTAGTTGCCAATAGCTAGGGGTGATATCCCACTGCCTTAGTCAATCGGTGAGAGTTTATTTTGTTGCTGCGATGCTGGTAACTCAATAATTTGCTTCCTAATTCATGGATGACCTTTCACCTAGACTTGGAGAGAGCTGGATTTGGCCTTAGTTAACTTGCTTGTGCAGTTTCAGGGTTTAAGCACACCAGGAACTATTTTCTTATTTTTGTTTCACTTAGATCTTGGAAATGTGCATTCTCTTCACAGGGGCAATTTCTCCCGTGCAGGAAGGCCCCAAGAGTTAAGTGCCAGAGATGTCTCAGATCATCAGTCTGGGATACGTACAGGCTTCTGATTTATATAGCTTACTGCAGACACATTTTTAGCTTTTCATCTAAAATAATAACATTCCTAAAGTGAAAAGTAAAAATGTAAAAATAATAACATGCAAAGATGTGATTTTTTTTTTCCTAGAAAAGTTATTTCACCAGCTTTTGCCAATGGTACTGTGGTCACTGCTCAAGGGGAAATTTCCCTCTATGGCTGCTTACTCACAGGAGTAAGTCACTAAACCTGATCCCACCGTGACTGCTCCTGTTCGCACGGAATCAGTGGCTGTGAAGGGATGACTCAGAGGGCAGAACGGGATATAATGGGCCACACATGGGCATTCCAGAAGAGTGTGTTCTCTCCAGTGCTAATTAATTTTCTGCTCTGCAAAATACTTAACAACACAAAACACTGGTAATTTCTTTTTTCTTTAAATATTTCCATCAGCCTCTTAAAGGTGCTTTTATGAACTCCATTCAGTCCTTTTCCATGTTGATTGACAAGTCAGGTCTAATTACGTGGACAGTTTATGATCATGACATGTCCCAGAACAGTGTGTTACTACATACTTAATAAAACTGCGATGATACTCACCAAAATCTGGAATTGCATACTGTCAAAGGGAAGGGAATTTGAAAGGAAAATGCTGTGGACTTACTGAAATTTGGTGAAGGCAGAGCTCAGATTCAAGGGGAGAAAAGGGAAGACAGCATCCAACTTTGCGGGTGATTTCAAATACCTTGAGAAGTATGAGGCATGATAAAAATATAGCCCCTGCAGAGGATTTCATCATGAGGGATAGGCTTCTACTCACAGGGTGAAAAAAATTACTTTCTAATAGCATCTGCCTGTTTTACATACATAATGAGCCAACCTCGATGTGGTCATGTTACTTCCTGGGAAGTGTTTGGAGTGAGGGACAGTTGTGCTTCCAGTCATTTTCAACAGAAGACTTTCCCTTCTGAATGCATTCACATTTTTAGCTTTTAATGTAAACTTTAAATAATATAGTATTGTCAAGGTCTCATATCTCGTGTATTTCACAGTTCTTTAAACAAATAATACCTGAGACACATCCAGGAAGTATCTATCTGCAGATAAAAGAACTGAAGCAAAGAAAGGTGAAGTAACTTGCCCCAGATCCTGAAACAAGTTTGCAGCAATGCCAGACACAGGGCTTTGCTTTCCTTTCTCCAGAATCACTGGGTTATCACTCCTACCTAATTAAAACAGGGCAGAGCCTCTGCAGCAGAGGCTGAAAAGTGCTCATCTGGGCTTAACATTTAGCACAGGACCAGTGCAGCGCCCTACTGCACCATGCCAGGTCCCACTGCCTTACTCGGCAGTGTAGTGTGGCCAGAACCCTCCAAGACCCCTAGCTAATGTTTAATCCTTGGGGGGAGGCTGGAGGAGAGCACAAATTAGCTGAGAGAGGGCATTCACCTCCCTACTCCTCTCAAGACATGGTGGTAGGTAGAGGAGGGAAGAACCTAGTACTGCATTTGTGAAGAAGCTTGTAATCGGTGGGCTTTTCTGCCCTAGATTTGTGCACGAGTGATTTGATTACAGAGAACCATGGATGTGGTGAAGCTGATGTAGGAGGCTGGCTCGGTCCAAGTTCCCAGGACATAAAAGACTGAAAGGCAGCGCTCCTCAGAGGCAAGCTTTATGCAATATGAGATGTTTTTTCCATTTGTCCACTTCCTAAAAAACCCTTCCACATACCCAAATGCCACTGACAAACCCTTCTCAGAATAAAGCCTGTTTCAAAGCAGGTGAGGGTGGCAAGGGTCTGAAATGCTGCTATCAGAAAAGCTTATGTTGGACCAGCAGAGTCTAAATATGTCAGTGGTGAGGATGGTTCATGAGGAGGGAATACAGGGCCGTTGGGAGATGGTCCTCTCCCTCTTCTTTAAATGCAGCTGAGGATGAAGCCAGTTTGTGCTTTTGCATAGCACACCTGTATTTTCACAGGCAGAAAAACATGCTGCAAAGATAACTTTTCTTTGAGGAAGAAAACCAACCCCATCATTTCTGGCCCCTATAGCAACCAAGATAACGCTCAGAGTGGGAGCAGTGTGAAAGAAATAGAACAATGTCTGCTTCAGTCTGCAGAAACCAAGAAGCAGTAGACCTGAAAGGTCCGTGTCGCCTCTTCATTATAGGAATCTGTTGATCAGATTAGGAAGGTACTGAACTACCCTGATTAGGAGTTTCATAGTCTTATAAAAAGCATCTCATTTTGGTCTCCCAGGTGGGTTGAGCTTTGTTGGCAGGTTACTCCTAGAAAAAGGTTACCACTATTTTTTTTTTTCCCACATCTAATGCTACCTTGAATGCTAAAGTGGAGCTATAGCAGAGGAGAGGGTGCTCTGGGGGCTACAGACTGCATCCCCCAGCCCTACTCCACAGGCTTCCTGACAGACAGTCACTGTGGGAAGGGGGTACAAAAAGGCGTGAGGAGGCCTTTGTGCCTGAGCTGTGTGGTGTTGCAGTGTGCTGCCCTGCTCCTGCCTGCCTGGGCTGGGTCAGGTGCCCTACAGAGTGCACTGCTGCCCCTGCTACCCTGTCTCTGGGAGTTAAATGTGTTACAGCAGGGTTTTGCCTCTCTTTTAAAGAAGAGAAACATTTTAGTTTTACTTATCATAGTAAACTGGCTCTAATGCCAGTAAAGCATGCCTAATTGGCAGGATTTAGAGACTGATCATTTCAATTTATGCCCAGAACAGGTAGGGCAGCAATGAAAGCTTCTACCACCCAACCCCACCCCTTCTCGCCAATGTGCCTCAACCCTGCCCTGAAGGGACCACCTGGAGGGCTGAGCAGGGAGTTCCCTCCCTCTGCGCAATAAAAAGGCACAGTCCTACAGTAAATACCAGGTTAAGCTGATGGCTGTTTAATAGTTAGTGTACCTCTGGTAATAAAGCTCTTGCAGTGCTCGTGCAGAAGAGCACCTGCTAGTGAATTAATGCAGGAGCCATTTGCTAAGGTTTTGCCTTTAAGGACTTGGCAGAAAACACTCGAGTGGAATTTTCACTTCATGTTACCATGAGGTCAGTGGGAAAATAGTTCATTGCCCCTAGCCTGTCTGTTGGAAACAGTTCCCATCACTGCCACAGCTTGCAATAGCCTTCCCAGAACCATGTACTGTTTGGTATCACTTCCTTCTTTTCAAGCCTCTTCACCACATGGAGATCTGCCTTCTCGTCCTTTTTGCCAGACCCTTTTTCCCATCTGTCAGCCTTGCTTGTGAACTGTATCCCCTACAGCCAGGAACAGGACTGTATTGCAGGTGGTTTGAGTGCATCACGCCCATCTATTCTGAGTGCCCCATCCTTCACAAGCCAAAATCCCCAGGAGCTGATTCTGGAGAAAGGTGTGATCGACCCATATTTGTTATTGACAGAGGAAGAAGTACCAGGGAGTAGTGGTTTTCCCCTGAAAAGTGGGACCATCTGTTCATCTAAATAAAATGCTTGGGGGGGAAAAAAAAAAAAAAAAGGCAAGCCCTGTACAAATGCCATGTCACTGTGAGCCTTTAGTGAAACCATCTTATGCAAGTGCAGAACTAAAATAAAGATAACATTTTCTAGTAGCCATGAGTAGCACTCAGATTGCCCAATGCAGGAATCCTTGCTTTTCTCAGCATCTGCTTTATCAGTTGTCTTCCAGCCCAAGAAGTCCATGGGTCTTGGCAGCAGCTCTTGCTGATGTGGAGTGGGTTATTGCTTAAGAACCCTTTGATCAGCCGCCAGGTACTAACACCATGCTCTGAAACGGCGGCTTGCCAGACCTGGCCAGCACACAAACTGGATGGGCTCCTTCGGTACGGTAGGAGGAAACAAGGATTCCTTTTGGCCTCTCTGAGTGCATCTCATTCACCATCTTTCTGGACAT